ACGGGTTGCTGTTTGAGAAGACTAATGTGTTTGACCGCCTGTGCGTTCCCAACAGCGAAGAGATTCGTAGTCTRATTCTAGGGGAATGTCACGATACGGAGGGACACTTCGGTTGGCAAAAGACGTTAGCCAATCTGATGCGTGCGTACACATGGCCAGGGATGAAGAACGACTGCATAGGGTATGTCCGCAGTTGTAAAGTGTGCCAGAGGAATAAATCTACTACACGCGCGCCCCTAGGTCTTCTCAGACCCTTGCCTATTCCGGATCAGCCGGGAGACTCGGTATCCATAGACTTCATGGACACGCAAGTCAAGAGCAGACATGGTAGGAGCCAAGTCATGGTCATAGTCGACCGTTGTAGTAAGTATGCAGTTTTTGTTCCCTTGCCTGCGGAGGCACGTACAGATTTAGTAATACAGAAGTTCTTTGACTTTTGGGTTAGTGAGAATGGWATCCCATTGTCAATAGTTAGTGATAGGGACAGTCGTTTCACCAGCCAGAACTGGCAAGGACTAATGAGAGTCTACGGATCTAAGTTGTTAATGTCGTCCGGCCGTCACCCAGAGACTAACGGTCAGACAGAACAGATGAACAAGATCCTACAGCAAGTTCTGCGCATGTACATTAGACCAGATCAGATTAACTGGGATGAGATGTTGCCTAAGGTAGCTAGTGCATACAACAACAGYGTGCATCTATSCACCTGCYGCACYCCCAATGAGTTGCACAAGTCCTTCAGACCGCGCAGACCGTTCGAAGGACTGAACCGGGATCAGATTCACAGTTTACCACCCGGTACCAGGGAGTTTGCGATACAGCACGAAAAGGAATTAGCCACTGTTGTTGAGAACCTTCGGAAGGCCCAGCACAGAATCATAGAGCAGACTAACAAGCATCGTCGCCCATCACAGTTTCAAGTAGGCGACTTAGTCTGGGTCAAGGCAAAAGAGTTTGCGCCGGAAGAAAACATCTCGCATAAATTACTGCCTGCATATAGAGGACCGTGGCCGGTTCTAGAAGTCAAGGGCGGAGAGGATGGACCGTCCTACAGCATTGAGATTCCAGCACACCTCCACACATACCCTGTGTTCCATGCTTCAAAGCTGCTGCCGTGTGTCACTAGTCAACAGTTCCCTTCCAGGAGATCCATGATCCCACCGGATATGGATGGGAGCTATGACATAGAGGGCATCATAGAAGAGGATGTGTTTAGGACAGGAGGTAGAGGTCGTCCCCAGAAACAGTATAAAGTCCGGTTTGCCTATTAGGAACCGGAAGACGACCGCTGGTCCATGAAAGCAGAACTTCTAGAGACTGCTCCCGACATAGTCAGAGCCTATGAGCGTGACAAGAAAGGTAAAGGTCCCGCCTTGGACTAAAATTTTCTCGGAGGACCTCGAATTTAGGACGGCGGGAGTGAAACGGTTTTCACCTTTTAGCAGTAGCGGATGCAGTACCCAGGGTTCGATCCCTAGACCTCACCCTACCCATGTACAGTATC